GAAATAAATAACCATTTCTTACTTTTCTTGTTCTATTTCTCTTATTTAGGAACTTCTTGGCGTTATTAATATATGTCAAACTATTCTTTTTGTTTCAGGACGATTTTCAACAACCCAGTGACAATGCTGCCACTTGAGATGTCTCATGATATGACACCAGACATGAAAATGTAAGGAATGAAAAGTTATACTCTTACAATAGCTTTGCCACAATGATTTGTGTGTGTGTGTATATGTCAATTGTATATTTTTCAGTTGTTCATTTTAGGAAATCATTGGTTAATTTTCCAAGAATTAAAATATTCTTTGACTTTCTCATTATGTTTCTTGGGGAAGGCCTTCAGTGTCCCACGTCTTATTTTATTTGAGATGGATATCATTGGCAGGTATCAAGGCTTGTGTTAGGGCAGTTCAAAGTGTAAGTCCTGCAACCTGGTTAAAAAAAAAAAACAAAAAAAAAAAACCTTGAACTATAGTTATGGTGGTCAGAGACTCGACTTGAAATACAAAGACTCTTTCCTCTAAAACTGACGTCGGTCAATGACTGGATGAAAATTACCCTTATCAATTTTTTTTTGTTTGTTTCCAGCTCAGTTTCTTGCAAAATCCTCGAGGGATTTATTCCAGGAAACTACACTGCTCGCATGTAAGTAACTGTTATGCTGCAGTTTCACTACAAATGCTGACGGTCTTTTACACTATATCCCTGATTAGCTAGGTTTGTAGTTAGTATAACGCACGCACTCTATTTAATTCGTGTCTTGAGAGGTAGGGCAAACTAAGACATTGCGCTTATGTAGTCCTTAGGAGGGTTTTTATGGATGACACAAATATGAAAAAACAAAATTTCGTTAAAGAGGGTCTCAATGGGAAGGGGGGAAGGCAAGTTGACAATTGAAGGTTAAAAATAGGCCCTTTTGACGGTTGAAAGTTAGTTCAAGATCAGTTGACGGTTGACGGTTAATTTTTTGAAATGTCGTTTGTAAAAGGAACTGAACGCGCGCATTTGGCTGTAAACTTTTCGAATGACGCCTTTCTAAA